CTTACAAATCCAATAACCTCAGTAGCAAATGTGCATTCTTTCCCTCCCTGCTACAATTCTCAAGATAGGTATAGTATCCTTATTTTCAGGAGGAAATTGAGGAACATCAAATCTTGCTACAGGACACACAGCTAATCTGTGTCCACAAGACCATCCTGTGTCCCATAAACAAACACCATGGCATGTTTTTGTTTTTTATAGAAGGAACTGAGAGATCTAGTTTAATTTCTCATCTTTACTGCAAACAGAGGGCTCTGGAAACTTGGAAGGATGGTTTCACTGCCCTGGTTATACCTGAGCTTTGGTTTCAGAGGAGAGAGAGGGTAGATGGGGGACTATTGAGGGACTACTAAAGGACCTGGGAGCAACAAGTGACCCCTCAGCCCAGGACTCTGGGCATCTTTGTGTCCTTGTGCCCTTTGGTCAGGGGTCATACCCGCTACCACCCACCCACAGGGAGAGCACCTTACTCCTGGCTGCCCTCTAACCCCACGGGGTCAAGCAGAAGTCACAGCTGTGGAAGACAGTGGACTGTCCTGGCCCCTGTGGAAACAGCTGCCACCCTGCCTGGGGAGGGGACGAGATGAGCCAAGGACTTCTGTTCCATTTACCTCGCATCTGAAGCTCATCTAGGGAGAGAAAACAGACATTACCACCGGCTGCTTCCCGTGTCCTCCATGTTCTGCTGCTCATGTGCTGTGTCTGAGTCTGCACTAGATGCTGATGACAGGTTGAGAGACCTATGTCACCTCTCCATATGGGACATCAAAAAGTCCCTTCTCTCTCTACCTCAACTTCCTCATCAGTAAAGTGGGGACAGTAAGGTTGGCAAGCTGGGCATCACCTGACCATTGGGAAGCACTGAGAGGTCTTTGTGATCTGTACAAGGCCAGAGGGCAGGGCTTGTTTATCTAAGGTCTAGTTGGCTCCTGAACTGGCGCATTAGCCTGAGCATGCACATTTGGCCACAAAGTGAGGGCTGAGAAGAATACCTCTTTCTCAGCTCAGAGGAGAAGAACAATGTGTCCCAAAGGCTGGTGGCCTCCCTGTGACCCCTGCCTCACAGATCAAATGGAATCACTCAACTGGAAAGCCTAGGCTCTCCCTCAATTTTCCCACTGGGTCAGAGAGGCACTCTGGCTGCCATCGGCTGGGGCTTTGCTCCTTCAAACGGAGTTCCAGGTCAGGTCCATGGCTGGTGTTCCACCCATAATGAAAAATAATACTCATTGCCAAAAGGTATGTGAGGGCCCCAGTTAGCCCTAACAACAATGGCATGTACAGCCCACTGTCATTGTCATTTGGAAAAACGGGGCTTGGGGAGGTTGTTAAGGTTACATGTAAAAAGTGGTAGAACCAGTGTTCCAGCTGAGGTGATCTGACTTAACCAGGGTGTGGGACTGCCTCTGGAAGGCTGGGACCTTTTGCATTGTGTATGGAACCCCACCACCAGGAAGTATTGACCCCGTTTTCTTCCTGACTAGAGAAGCAGCTACCCTTGCATTTAGCATTCATTCATTTAGTTATATTAAAAGGAGGAAGAGCAACATCCTGGGACCATCAGAGCCTGGGAGACAAGTTCCCCAATTCCACGGCCCAGGGCCTGACAACACTGCCCACCATGTTGGGGATCCTGGCTTGGAGGCTGAGACCTTCCCTCTCTGGCTATCAGAAACAGATCAGTAGCAGGGCACCCCTGTGACTGGCTTTGGGGTCACTGCTCCCAGCCAGGTACCTACAGCTAAAACAAAGTCAGAGTGGCAGCCCACCTCTTCTGACCATCCTCCCCTTTCCAGACCCTCTGGTCGCTGGGATCCCACCCGAATCTGAGCCCATAATGTGAGCCACTTACCTTGTAGTCACCACACTTCACTCCTTGTGAGATGTGTGTTGTGTCTTCTGTGACCAGAGCAAAGAGGACAAGTTGGCCATGGATCTGGCAGATAAAGGGGCTAACCAGGAAGTTCTGGGGACAGATTCTGAGCACCAGTGTCCTAGCCAATCTGAATGAGGCAGCAGCACTTCTGCTATGACCCTGGGGCAGGCAAGAAGCCAGAGCCTGAGGGCTGGGGTCCAGGTAGGCAAATGGTGCCTCCTTCCTTCCTCCCTCCCTCCTTTCCACATCTGATATGGGACATCCTGTGACCGCCTTCTCCTCAGCACCATTTCCTCACTCTTCAGAGGCCTCAGGGTATTCAACTCTTTGTCTCCACCCTGCCTTGGTCAGAGAACAAGAGCTAGCCTTCAATCCCCATGAATTTGTTGAGGTTTGCTCTATGGTCTGTTCTAGTGAACATGCTTTGCATCCTTGCAAGTGTAGTTTTGCAGGTTTGGGTGTAGTGTTCTGTAAGCAAATGCTAGGTTAAGGTGGTTGACAATATTGTTCATCACCTCTGACTATATTAACTTTATTTTCTATACTGTTTTCTGTCAGTTAAGAGGGATGGTAAGATTTCCTGCTATGTACAGGTGCAGAATTGTCTCCCTCTCGTTGTCGTATACTTTGCTCTGTGGAGTGAGAAACTCTTATTACATGTAGAAACACTTTGCTACATCTTTGGATGAACTGACATTTATCATTATGAATGTCCCCCTGTACCTCTGCTAATGCTTCAGTTGAAGTCTTTACCTAACTCTATGCTTGCTAATTGCCTCTGGGTCTTTAATCACTCATCTGCTTTCCTTTTCCCATTGACCTGTAATCTGTTTGTGTCTTTACATTTATTTTTGATTTTGAGATGGGACTTTCAATTGTTGCTCAGGCTGGTCTCAACCATAGGCTCCAGGGACCTTCTCATCTCAGCCTGGTGAGTATCAGAGACCTTGGATGCATACAATGTGCCTGGCTCTACGTCACTGTTCTTAAAATACATACATCATTGGGTCTTCCTTTTCACTCCGTAGATATTTAATGTGGTAATTGATGTGGTTATCATATCATCTTCGGTCTACTATTATTTACCTGTTTTTCCCTTCTCTCTGTGTGTCTCTCTCTGTTTCTCTGTCTCTGTCTCTCTGTCTCTCTCTCTGTGTGTGTGTGTGTGTGTGTGTGTGTGTGTGTGTGTGTTCTTTTGTTCTCCCTTTCTTGTCTCCTTTTGGAATATTTAAATTTTTTTAGTAATTCATGTTAAGATGGCTGAAGTAGGAGGATCTGGAAGTTCGAGAGCAGCCTGGTTTACATAACCTGTGTCATATAGTTATCTATTTTAGTTTTCTGCTGGCATTAACTCCAGTTATTTGTCTTATATACTAAGTCTCTTTAGAGATTATAATACAACTAGTTTTCAGGCTGGCCAGTTGACTTAATTGGTTAGAGCATGGTGCTGTTAATAACCACTTTACACAAACTACTGAACTATTGAGCTCACAACTGCACATCCAATGTAGAAACCATGGGTAGTGTAGGTCTGGTACCGCCATCCCTAGTTGCTCTTTATATTGTTATGTCTGTCATATATACATTATACACCCCATAGGACAATTTCGTAAATTTTGATTTAAACTGGTGTGTATTTTAAGAGAGAATAAAGATGCCCCTTTTAATTATATTCATGAAGATCTAAGTGTTTCTCTAATACTATTTCCCTTTAGACAGATGAAATTCCTCAGCATTTCTTGTGCGTCAGCCACTGTGAACCCTCTTAGTTTTATTTGAAAACAACATCTTTGATGTTATTCATCCTATTGGACACAGAAGTGTAGTGGGCTGGCTCATGGCGCCACTGTCTCCATCATCTTGACAGGAAACGTCTTTCATTATTATTTCCTACTGGCTACCTTATACTGTAAACTCTTATCTTCAGATTTTTAAGTTGGTCAGGTAACAGTTTCCCAGGAAAAGCTTCTTCCATTTTTCTGTTAAAAAGTCTATTTCAGATGTGCAGATGGAAAAGTGTGAATGATGTGGCCACATGATCGGGTTTCTGACCAATTTCTGAATGTCTGAGATTATATGTTCTGTGTGCTTGAAAACAACAACAACAACAACAACAACAACAACAACCATGTGACCTCATGGCAGGTGGCAACTTGACAAAGTTCAAAGACAAACAGGTCATATGACTTCATAGTCATCTTTCTTAAGGGTGATCAAAAGGGCAGTCACCATCTTGCCTAAGATTTACTGAAGATAAAGACCTCTCTGTTTATTTTATGGATAGATTCCTGTCCTGTCCTAAAAACTAAGTTTATAAAAGATAGATTTAAAACAGTACTGGTTTTGATAATTGGTTTTAGAAGTACTAAATTGTTTATAATGTTAAAACCTGGTTTTGCCTTACTATACCTTAGAGACTGAGATATTCCTATTTTATGCTTCCTAAAAAGTTTTATAAAGGGTTTCTCCTTATCTAAGGTCTATTCAGGGTAACAAAGACCAAATTTAAGAATATATGCCTAATCTTCTCACTTTTACTAACAATAGTAAGCTGTAACTAATTTGGAAAACTGTATGTCCAGATTTAACATATTTGCTTTCAAAGTTAAGCCTAAATACCATTTGATGTTGTTTCCCGACCTCATTGTGATGAAGACTGCCACATGACTGGCAGCCATCTTTTACTAAGGTTTATTAAGGTTAAAGTCCTCTCTGTTTATTTTATCTCCTTCTATATTTGATTCAACTCTGGTTTATAATACTCTATATGACAATAAAAATTAAAAAGATCTGTTCAGATTAACAAAACCTA